TTGGCACACAATTTACTTTTAAGTCTTTTCCACCAGGAGCGTCCGCTGCAGTCCACCCAGTAATTGCCCCTGGGCTGCAACATTTATTCTCTTTAAAGCAGTTCAGTATGTTAACCTGTTAGAGAGGCACATACTTCTGTTCTTCTTTCCAGGGCACCTCTGTAGTCAGCCCAAGAGGATGAGATATATTGCGTTTGCAAGAGCTAATGGGAATATATGCAAATATTCTTGTGCAAAAGTTTGAATTCTGTTCTTCATCTTGCTGACATCTGCATGAGGTTGACCTTTTGAGGTCATCAGTTTCTTTAAGTTTGAACCCCCAGCGGGAGATAGAAAGAAACAAATCTAAAGTTTCCTGAGAAAATGTTTTTAAAATCCAGTTGAAGAAAAATATTTTACAGACATATGAGAGCCAGAAAGTGAAACTGTAAACACCCTCTCCTCATTGCTCAAGTAAAATACAGGTTTAAAAGGAACTCTGTGTACTGGTACAATGAAAGATGATTTTTTTTAAATTAGAAAAACAAAGCAGGCTGTGAAACAGAGGAGGCGTGTTTTTTTTAATATTCAACATCCATCTTGCGGTGTCACTTAAGCATTACTCTACTTAGATGAGGCTCAGGCAAAACATCTGTGAGGGGAGACTAGTTACAGCGAAGAGTGACTTTGGCTGTCTCACTTCTCTTCCTACCGGGACAGGAGCCCACCCCAGAGGGACTGTGATAAAGGAAAGGAGAGTGTCTGGGAGGGTAGCCAGAAGCTCCAATGTTCACTAGGTAAAGTGGTGAGATCTACAAGGAAATTCTGATCCTATGCTGGGATACCTGTGTTGTAGAACTCGGCTTCTGGAAATAAGATGCTTCCCTGCCATAGTCCTAGAGAAAATAATGCAGCCACCCTCCCCCTACCCCATGTAACTCCTGCCTGGTGTGCTTTTATTCCTTCAATCCAACAGTAAATTTATAGCTTCATTTGAAACTTCCCTCATTTTGTATGAAATGATACCTGGATATCCCTGATTTTGAATTCCAGAGATAATTAAAGCATTATCAATAATCGGGTGTTATGTGATTCACTGAAAACAAAGGTTAAGAGGAATGGAGCTTCCTTATTTTCCAAACCAATTTAAATAGAAGCCATAATTTTTTTTTTTTTTTTTTTTTTTTTTTTTGATCATTGGTTTTACTAATGAATTTCTACTCAGGGATAAGTTAGCACTTAATAATACAGTATTTATAACAATAAGAGTAAATAGTGCAAGGCATTACACACTTATTTAAATAGTCCTTGAGTAAGATAATCAACCTATCTTATTTAGTTAAACAAAGACTAATGAAGCCAAAACAAAATATTGATCTCAGAGTAAAACAAGTGAAGCAAGGAAATAAATTATTGTTCAAAGTCACATAGGAAACCAAGGATAGAATCTATGACTCCCAACTATAACTTACGCTGCACTCTCTCCAGAGCATTTGTTGAAACTATTTAATAGCAATATTTAAATTACAATGAAATGACAATATTAAGAAATTCATCTCCTCTTCATCTAGACAGCAAAGCTATGCAAAGAATAAGAAGGTTAAGAATTCAATTTTTGATTTTAAAAGAGAATGGTAACATGGATTTAGAGTCTTCCTGTTAATACTCTGGTCAGTGTAATGACACAGATATGGATCATAGGTCTGTTTTGAGGCTGCCAAATGTCATTAGTGTCTCAGAGGTTTAAGGAAAACTCCTTTATCGGATATATGTCAAAGGTCTTACCAGGTGTCCTTTCCTATCAATCTCAAGCATTCGTTCTAGGACACACTATACAAATTCCTCCAGGTTTGTATTCCACTTGGTTTCCTTTTACTAAGTTCTTTGAAAAAATATTAAGGAACAAAATGCATTGGTCACAAAATGGAGTGCATAAATGTGTATGTGATGTATTAATATAAGGTCTGTATATATCTAAACCTCTGGAGTGGTTTCAGGAAAATTGTTCTTGGTTCATAAAATTTGAAATAAATTACAAAGACTGCAGGTGGGGGAGGAATGTACAAAAAGAAGAAATTCAGGACAGTGATAATAACTTTTAAAAAGAAGACTTTTAAAGTACTAGTGGGCATTTCTTTACTTATTCTTCTTCCTTCTCCATGGTATCTCCTTAGAAAATCAGCAGAATTTTATGACACATCTAGAAAATCTTATCTTCATTCTAGTTTAGGAAATCCCATTTAATACTTTACCTTGTGACCCGCGGCATGCGGGATCCTTCTGGACCGGGGCACGAACCCGTGTCCCCTGCATCGGCAGGCGGACTCTCAACCACTGCGCCACCAGGGAAGCCCGAAGCCATAATTCATACCCGGTTCTGCTTGACAAACCATTGAGTGCCCCCCCAAAGGCAGGCATTGGGCTAGGGCCAGGCGTTACTGACGCTGGGTTTGTGTGACATCTGCACAAAGGTGGGTACAGTTATTATAGCCAGATACATTCTCAGTGGATTTATGAACCTGAGCCATCAGACCATGTAGCCTTGGGGGCATAAAATCTTTCTGAATTCGAAGTTTCAAGGTTATTAAGTACCAAATATTTCTGTGTAATTACCCATTACAAATTCAGGTTTGAAAAACAATACTGGGGTAATCCTTTTGCTTGCTCAGCTGCTTTTGGCAGAGAAGAACGCTTGTATATTCAAAGACCTCGTGCAATATGATGTGTGCTTCTTTGGAAAGAAAGAGCCATAAAGTACTTTAAAAGTTATAAATAGGTTCCATGTTTGTCATATCCAAATGACTACATATGGATAGCCCTGAACCCTTGGTTCCTACTCCATGGCAAGATCGATATGACTTTATTACTTACAGTAAATTATTGTCCACTTGGTTCAAAATCTTTATCTGACTATTAAAAGCCAAAACCAAAGTTACAAGTTTCACATTCATTTATATATTTTCTCCCCCACCCCACCCCATTCCTCTTAAATTAATCATGGAAATGAACTCCAGACCCAAGGCTTATGAAGAATGTTGAGAAAAGAGGGTAATAGCATTTCATGAAGGGAGAGGAGGACTATCCCCACTTAAGGAGGTGCCTGTTCCAGAGGTGGTACATTGCTCTGGGCAGCAAGTCTCCTCAACCCAAGGCAGGGTTGGCCTCTTAGATGTTATTGGATCTCCCATAGGTCAGTTAAGTCCTCCACAGGGTTCTATACACATGAACACTGAAGAAATATCTACTGAAGAGAATTGCTGTCTTAAAGATATCTACTTGCATGCTTGATGAGAGAAAATACATTCTTAGCTAGAACTAACCACTTGTAAAGTATTTAGCCAGGCAGTTTTTTTTTTTTTTTTTTTT